AAAAATAAAATCAAAACTTTTTTAACAATAGTAGCTGAATTCTATTTTTCTTTTTTCCTCAACTTTATTGTCATGACCACATCTAGCTCTTAGCTATTCTAGTAGACAATGCACTTGTGTTTTTGAGCTTTAAGACTGCAAGGGCTGAGTTTTTGTTATCTATATGTAAGATCATTAAATTCAAAGTTTTTACTCATCTAAGCAGAGTAGTAGTCTATGAAGTGCTGTCAATGTCTTCCTGTTTTAGCCAATTTTCCTCAAATATTTGTTGAAAGTTTGTCATTTTAATTTTAAAACACTTTGAAGCAACATAAGACAATCCAACAACGCCTAATTTTTCAATAACACAACTCATCATTTCATCAAACTTTCGAGGGGTTTGCACCAAAATAGAACCATCATGGAATCGAAGGAGCTGCTCTAATAAGAAGAAATATAATTGCTGCTCAAATATGCAAAAAATGTTTTTTTTGGTTTTATTACCTCATAGATATAAGTTTTAGTTTCCCTATAATCATGTGATAATATTAGGTAATATTATTCAGTAATAGTCACATAATAATATTCAGTAATGCACAATTACTAAAGGTGTTGAATTATTGTCTATAAGTCTGTACCAGAACTTTAAAAATTCGCACTTACTCAAAAAGATTCTTTTGCGCATGCTCAAAAAGAAAATCTTTTTTAGTCTTTAAATACAATGGCTTTTAAAATATAAAATAAAACAAAAACTTTGAGGTAAATTCAAAAATTAGTTTTTTCCTCCGGTTAAAATAACACACTGTGTGTTGAGTTTTATTGATGAGGACTCACCTATTGTTGTAACCAATGAGTTACCTTTAACCAAAAGGATTTTAAAAAGAAAATGAATTACCCAGCAGTAGAAAAAGAAACTGTGGCTATTATTGAAGTGGTTTAAAAATTAAGAGATTGTCATGAAATTAATACCAGTTGATCACTGATCAGTATTCTGTAGCTTTTATGTTTAATAACTAAAAAAAAAAACAAAGATTAAAAATAGTAAGACTCAGTGATGAAGAATGGAGTTAACAGAGCTTAGTTATACTATATTGCATTGTTCATGAAGCAGTTTCTAATGCATTTAATTGTGCTTTTTTGTGATACAATATAACCTCAAAAAAACCTGCACTATCTGCAAAGCTTGAGCCTCTCTCCCATCATCATAAAGTTGCATCTCTTTATTTTTTCTATGAATACTATTAAGTTAACGGCTTAAGAAGCTATTATCTCTACTTTCATCAACCAAAACTTATTCTTGCTTAATTAGTCATTCAGCAAAGTCTCATTACTTTACTGTATCTGTCCCTGCATGTTTTAAAAACTTTTACTTGTCTAGTTTTTTTCCCAGTACTTCCAACCTTTTGAAATTCTCTTCCATCTTAATGATTTCCTGACTCATAAAACCTACAACTTTTCTTCTGTCAACTGTACCTATTTAATTTTATTCTTGGTTTTCTAGCAACTCCCAAAATAATAATGGTTGCAGCCTTGTTCGGAGAGAATAAGATTTAAGAAATATATGTATATAAAAATAATAAATTCAGACTGTAGACTTTTCCATATAGATTATTGTTATTTATGTTATGTATATATATATTTCAACTATTATTATTTCAACTATATATTTAGATTAGTATATTATTATTGCATAAAAACATAAAGAAATCTTCACTTTTTTCATCATAAATACCATTCTAAAAGATTTTTTATTTTGGATCTTGATAATAAAAATACTTTTTTAATATATTACTGTGTTTTTTGTTTCATATTGCACCTTTTATTGTTACCTTTATTATTTGCGCATGCTACATTTTGCAAACAATTAAAACTCTGAACTGTTTTGCAATTACAAATTAGTAGAAAATCACTTAACAAAAATTTTTTTCATTTTACACTGTGTTTTATCAACAACATGATTACTTATGCTTTTTTTTTTTATAAAAATATTTTAAAAAAAAGGGGAGATTTAATGTAACTATTATTTGAGCTCACTTATTTTTATAGTTTTTTAGGTTTTTTCTAAAGAATTCTTTTTATAATAGTGTCAGCAAATTCCACAAATGTGTGAAAATTTAGAGTAGTTAAAACATTTGCGACTTCCTGTAATTTAATTTTTCGGTATAAATTAAAGTTTTATTAATTTTATCATTCATTTCTGATGAGTCTTTGTTGATGAAACACAGTGTAAAATGAAAAAAATTTTTGTTAAGTGATTTTCTACTAATTTGTAATTGCTAAACAGTTCAGAGTCTTACTCGTTGAAAAACATACCTATACTAGATGAAAAAAGTTATACTGTTTCTTTGATTGAATAAGTTGAGCATTTTTTTAAAAAAATTGGTTGGAAAGCCCATTTTTTCTTAAAACCAAATATAAACACAGATGATGTATTTAATAACAACCAAGATAATGATAATTATGGAATTAAATCAAAAAATACCCCACCTTTTATACCTGATTTAGAAAATTTTGAAAACGACTTATTGCATTTAATTAAAACAATAAAGTTTCGCCCTATAAAAAATAAAATTTCAAACAGAATTAAAGTTAGATGTTAAAAAAATTAAATCAAACCCAAATGTTTTGGTTTTTGCTGATAAAACAAATAACATTTACCAACTCACAACAGAAAACTAAGAAAAAAATTTACGCGACAATATTACTAGTTCTTATGAGAAAGAACTAGTAATATTGCCTAAAAAAAAGCCCCTAAAAATTTGGAAAATGCAATTAATTTAGAAGCCCAAAGCATTGCTAAAAAAATAAACCTAGATAACAGAATCGAATATACTGCCCCTGCCCAAGCCTTTGTAACACTAAAAGACCATAAACCAAACTTTCAAAACAAACTTCCTTGTAGGTTATTGGTTTCTTCAAAAAGTGAGATTGGACATGTAAGCAAAATTAATAAAATTCTTAGAATAAAATTGGTTCTCCATAATCGAAAATAAAGATGACTGTACATTTATTCAATTTGACATTAATGATTTTTACCCTTCAATAACTGCAGATATTTTAAATAAAACAATCAAAATTGCAAAAAGCCACACAGTTATTCCTGAAGAAACAATCCGTATAATAAAACATTGTAGAAAAACCTTACTTTACTTTAATAAGGAAACATACATGACTGCATTGATGTGACAATGGGCAGTTATAACGGAGCAGAAATTTGTGAGTTTGTTGGACTATACATTTTAGATTTATTAAGTAAAATAATCAATATAAATGATTTAGGCCTTTATCACGACGATGGTTTAATAGTAATGCATAAAAAATCTGGTCCACAGCTCGATAAGATTCAAAAAGATATTATAAAAATTTTGAAAAATATTGGCTTTCAAATTGAAATAAACATATATTTAAAAATTGTGAACTTTCTTGATGTCACATTTAACCTCTCTGAAAATTCATATAAGCCTTTCAAAAAACCAAACAATGAATTATTGTTTATTAATATTAACTTTAATCATCCACCACAAATTCTAAAACAAATCCCGATTTCAATTAATAACAGGTTAAACCAAAACTCCTCTAATGAAAATGTATTTAATTCCTCCAAACGAATATTTGAAGACGCCCTTAAAAAAAGTGGTTTTAAAAATTTTGAACTAAAATTTGACCCTAATAAAAAGAATACAAAAAAATGGAACAGAACTAGAAATGTAATTTGGTTCAACCCCCCATATAGCAAAAATGTTTCCACTAACATAGGAAAAGTGTTTTTAAAATTAATCGATAAGCATTTGCCTCCCTCTAATAAATTACATAAAAATTTTAATCGAAATACAATTAAAGTTAGCTACAGTTGCACAAAAAATAAGGAAAGAATTATAAAAAGTCACAATAATGCTTTGTTAAATAAAAAAAAGAAATCCTAAATGAAAAAACTACAGAAAATTGTAATTGTAAACAAAAAAACAATTGTCCAATGAGTGGAAGTTGTTTATCAAAAAATGTGGTATATAAATGTGTTGTTTCCTCTAAGAATGTACCCGATAAACAATATATTGGCATAACAGAGGGTGAATGGAAAAAACGTTTTGCCAATCATAAGCAATCTTTTAAAAACAAAAAGTATTCAAAAGACACCATGCTGTCAAAATATATATGGGAACTAAAAGATAAAAATATTGATGATTTTATACTGAATTGGTCCATCCTTAAAACAGCGCCTGCATACAACAATATTTCCAAAAAATGGATACTATGTCTCCAAGAAAAATTTGAAATAATTACACATGCAAACCAAGAATGTTTATTAAACAAAAAATCTGAATTAATTTCTAAATGCAGACACAAATAAAAGTTTCCTAAAATACTATAAAACTAAGTGAGGTCAAATAATAGTTACATTAAATCTTCCTTTTAAAAATACTTTAAAAATAATTACTTTTGTTTTAAAAAAAACAAAAGTAATTATTTCTAAAAAATTCTTTTTATATTAGTGTCAGCAAATTCTATAAATGGTGAAAATTTACAGTAGTTAAAACATTTACAATTTCCAGTAATTTAATTTTTTGGTATAAACTGAAGTTTTATTAATTTGATCATTCATTTCTGATGAGTCTTTATTGATGAGACACAGTGTAAAATTTAAAAAAAAAAATTAGTTAAGTGATTTTCTATTAATTTATAATTGCTCTGTTCTTTTAAGAACATTGAGCACTCTATTTTGTAGAATACATTTTAAAAAATATTTAAATATATATATATATATATATATATATATATATATATATATATATATATATATATATATATATATATATATATATATATATATATATATATATATATATATATATATATATATATATATATATATATGATATATATATATATATATATATATATATATATATATATATATATATATATATATATATATATATATATATATATATATATATAATGCATATATATTATATATATAAATATTAAAATATCCAAAATACACAACCAAAAATTAAGTATACTTGTTTAATTCAACTTTCTGTTGATTCCAAATGCAAAAGATGAAATCATAAAGAATACTGAAATTCCATAATACTTTATTTTCATTCACAGTTACTTGACTTTAAAACAATGCCACACACCCATTTGTTGACTAATTTATTTTATCTTTCTCATGTTACACATTCGCTGTGATTTATGCCCGAAAAGTTTTTCCGGATTATCCGGAATTTAACTAGAAACTGTTAAATTTACGATAGTCGGATTTGCTGACCGATCACTTAAAATATAAATATTATATTGCTCACACGGTCGTTTAGATATTAGTAAAAAGCGCTATGTTTAGATACGCATGCGTAAGAAAATACGAACTTTTAAAATGGCTACGGTTCTTAACTACAGAGAATATTTTATATGGCAACAGTTTATTTGTTAAATAATTTCTGAAAAGCCAATGATATAGCCTTATTGTTAACGTGAATCAATAAAATAATACAAAAATTTCACAAAAATATAATTTTCTACAAAGTTTAAAAAAAAAATTATTGAAATTCTACAGTCAGATAAATATGTTCTATATGTATGATATTTTTTGGTAATTGGTTCAACTTTTTTTCCATATAAAAACTTGTTTTTACTGTTATGACTATTTGCTTATATATAGATAGTATTAAAGCTAAAAAACTTTTTATTTTTTTTAAATATTAGAAAAAAAATTCAACTAGGCAATTTTTAGGCTTCAATTTTTAGGCTTTTATAAGTATAATAATAAATAAAGAAGATAGTAGTAATATAAAAAATACTATAAAGTATTAATTAGTTTTGATTTCGAATAAGATGGATTTTGCTTTCTGTGTTGTTCAACAACTTGCAAAATAAATTGTCGTTGTTCTTCATTTTGCGCACACTCGCGGAAATCACCAATAAGTCTGATTCCTCTTTCGGCGCAATCATTTGTTACCTCGATCACCTCGAGTTGTTTAACAAAATTTTCTGCAGTTCGATAATCTTGGACGATTCTCCACTCTTGTAAATTCATCCGGAGCCATTCCTGGTTGTTTATTAGTCCTAATAAATCAAAAAGAAGCCACGACCGCGGTCTAATTGAAAAATAAATAAAGGTTGAAGAATTTAATGTCGGAAATTTTGGTACCTTAATTAAAAATGTTTTTTGTCTTGGGGTAGAAAAAAAGTTTCTTTGCCATTATTGTTCTTGTAAATTCTGACAATTTTTCATTAAATAAAGATAAAATAACAAGCTCTTCTGTTAAATACCAAAGATGACGGTTAATCGACGAAATCACAGCGGTTGCAATATATATTCTTGATACCAATTCATTGGAACAAAAAATTTGAAGTCATCAACTGGAGCAAATACGGAAATCCTCGAGCGGAGCAATTGCATCGAATAAAAAAGACCATGTAGTGGATCATAATTTGCTTAGTTTATATAAAATGTGACATAAATCTCGCATTGTGAATTGCACCTGGTTTGTGAATTTTGAATATTCTGTCCATTGATAGTTTTCCCCGAAGGTAGATAATAGTTAATTCAATTCAAACTCAAGATAATCATCTCGCGGAAATAATTTCTCTTCGAGGCATTGGTAAGCCCATTTCAGAACTAAACTTGCTTGAGTAAAAATTTCTGATTTAATATCAGTAGGCCATTCAAAAAAATTAAAATTTGAGTAATCAATATCAATTCTGGAAAATTCGGTTTGGTAACGTTTAAAAATATGTTCATCTGGACTTTTGCTACCTCCTCGTAATGCAGTAAATGCATGTTTGGTGTGTAGCTCATTATGATGATGGAGAAATTCTAACCAAAAGAGAGGTCTCTTTAACTCAATTTCAATTGAAGTTGCTGCTCCTTTTTTATTACCTGTGTTGCTTATGAGGTTGCAGAATGATGGCTTATTTCCAACACAGAATTTAAAAAACCCATAGTTTGTGGAACAAAAGGAATAACACTAAGACTCAGTAGAAGTTATTCTGCATTCTCTAAGATAGCTTGAAACAAATCTCAAAAATCTTACATAAAACACTGGGAGCCTAAGCTTAATAAACTTTTAGATATTGCTCTTTGCAAATGCAGAATTGTTTACTGCAGTGAGAATGATCCCTCTTGCAAAGAATCTTGTGATAGCGGTGCCTTTGCAATCATTGCCTTTGCAAATGTGACTTAAATTTAAGAATTCCTCAAAATAAGCTTATTTGGATAAAAAACCAGCAAGAAAAACAAGGCAGTATTTCATCTATGCAAGAATTTGGTTTGGATGTTAAAGAGACTGCCAAACTTAGGTTAAAACACTTACGCAAGTCAATCCATCAAGCAAGACTCGCACGACAACGAGAAGAAGCTTCAAAATCTAAGTAAGAGTCATTAGAAACATTTTATCCACCGGCTGTTAGATTTGATGTTGAAAATGTGGATGTTACAATAGAAATGCATAGTAATTCAAATGATGTGATAGTCAGTGATAGTGAAGAAGTCAGTGATATCGATAAAGTTAGTGATAGTAATATAGTCAGTGATAGCAAAGAGGACTCGACCATAGAAAAGCAAGATAATTATGTTAAGCTAAACTACCTTGATATTAGTAATGCTGCCGTTGTTTCTGTTAGATTTGGTGTATCATCGACTGCTACTGCTGCAATCATTAATGGTCTACTGAAAGATATTATGAAATCAGGAAAACTTGTTGAAGATAAAAAAAATCTTATATGTGATAGCATGAAAGTTTTTCGTGCCAAAGAGCGTGCTATGAAGTATTCCAGAATTGAAGAAAATTTCGACTGTGAAAGAAATATAATCATTTTTGTTGATGGTAGGAAAGACAAAACTTTAATTCTTATCCATGATAAAACCACAGGCACCTTCAGAAAAAAAATTATCAAAGAAAATCATATAACTGTGACAGAAGAACCTAGAGGTCGTTACCTTACTCATTATACATCAAAGCATAAGTCAGAAACATCTAAACCAGCCAAGCAATGTGCTATTGGATTATTCAACTGGTTAATGGAAAGAGGTAAAGATCTTAATCTAATCTCCAACTAATTGGCAGTGATACTACAAATGAAATGTCTGGATGGAAAGGTGGAATGATTCATTTTGTGGAAAAACTTCTCAATCGAAAACTTTTTAGATCTTTTTGCTGGCTTCACATTAATGAGCTTCCATTCCGTCATATTGTTGAAAAACTTGATGGACCAACTTCTTCAGATAAAGGATGGTGTGAAGCAGTAGGTAAACTATTTTCCAAAGTTAAAAATCTTGAAAGAATTACTCAATTTACTCCTATTTCGCTTCTGGAGCCTCTTGTTAATATCAGTGAAGATTTCTTAAAGCAAATGAGCACTGACAGTTTAGTTGCATGGAAGTACTTGAATGCAATTCTGAAAGGAAAGCTTGATTCTGAAGTAGAAGCTCTTAAATGTGGTAGATTGTCTCACAGTCGATGGCTTACTTGTGGCATGAGATGCTTGCTTCTCTATATGAGTAATTATGATCTTGAACCTGTTAATGCAGAGATCTTAAGACTGCTTGCAACTTGGGTGACTCAGGTTTATCTTCCAATGTTCTTTGAGATTAAAGTAAAGCATGACATTAAATACGGTTCTTGTCATCTTTTAAAGCTGTTTCGACTTTGGCAGAAGCAAGATGATAGGATTAAAGAAGCATCTAAACTTAATCTCAGAAATGAATCTTGGTGGGCTCATCCTGAGATTATACTTGTCTCGCTTCTCCGTTCTGATAACTCAGAACAAAGGTTATTTGCAGTCGACACAATATTGGCCGTTAGGAAGGGAAGTGAGCTGGGCTCAAATGATGTTAGACCTTTTAAAGTTCCACAAACAATAAACCTTGATTCATGTGACATTAAAGAACTTATTGATTGGAAAAAAGAGATTGTTACTGAACCAATTTTCACTACAAACATGTCGTTAGTCCAACTCAATGCATTGATAGTTTCTCCCCTGCAGCTACCTCCATACTCATTACATACTCAAAGTTGCGAGAGAGACTTTCAGTAGCTTATTTAATTACTAATTTGGTATTTTTTGATTTTATTTAAACTTTGTTGTGCATAACATTAAATGTTTGAAAAAATTCTTGTTTTTTATGTTGATCTTAAAAGAATGTTAGGGGGCTGAAAAGAAAATTTGTAGTAAAAAAACAACAGCAAAATTATTAATTTAAACGGGTATTTTGAGTAAGTTTGAGGGGAGGGGGATTTCGCCTATGCACCCTCCCCTTACTCCTAATCCAGTGTGTGGGTATATATATATATATATATATATATATATATATATATATATATATATATATATATATATATATATATATATATATATATATATATGCACCCTCCCTATGCACCCTCCCCTTACTCCTAATCCAGTGTGTGGGTATATATATATATATATATATATATATATATATATATATATATATATATATATATATATATATATATATATATATACATATACATATATATATATATATATATATATATATATATATATATATATATATATATATATATATATATATATATATATATATATATATATATATATAATAATTGTAATATACCTTGATCTTATAATCATAATAAAACTATCAAATGTTGAAAAAAAAAATGGGGGGGGGAGCCGTAGCCCTTTTTTATGCACTCTGGATCTAGAATCCTGGAAGTTAAATAATAATTATATTTGTTTTATTTCACATAGTTTACTTTTTACCTAATATAATTGTAATTTTTAGTATTAATTGACTAAAACTTTTCCAAAATTAAGCTTTAGTTAAAATAGACTAATTTTCGAAAAAAAACCCTAATTTTAAAACCCGTTTCCCGGTAGCTAGACATCAATATTTTGTAAAAATATTATTATATTTGAATTCCCTATACCCAAATACATAGGAATCCAAGCGTGCTAGTCAAAATTCTAAAAATTTAGTTTTTGGCTCTTTTATGATATACCCAATGTACAATTGTTGATTAATTATGTATTAATAATCTAAAGTAATTAATTATTTAACTATTAATTATTGATTTCTAATATAAAGAAGTTTTATTAGAAAGAATTTAATTCATTTTCAGTTAACAAAATTCATTGCTTAAGTTTTGTTTTGAATTGGTTTAGAGAATAATTAGTTTTCATTTCATTATTTAATATTATGTTCCACAACTTTGGTCCTCGGTTTACAATAGAGAAT